ATGTATCGAACAATACAAAATTTTTAATTTATTTTATCACCTTTCCTTCTGACGATGCTGTCTGTTTTGAGTGCTCAGAGGATCTGTGGTTTGTGATTTGTGGTTTCATTTTTAGCAAATAGATCTCACATTGAAAGTCAGTGGATTGTATGAAAAGATAACATTGCAATGAATACATTTTTAAATACTTGTCTTTTGTTCCTCTTCCAAAGTGAAAGCCAACAAGACAGACATCATCTGGTTGTCTGTATTTTTTGTCACAGTGGGAAAGTAGGAAGAGGATATTAAAAACATCTATTGAAGATTTATGGAAATATATATAGTTAATCTCAAAATGCTTGTTATGTATTTTATGCATTTTCAGATTATTCATCATAAGTATTTGAATTCAAAGTATACAGCTTGTTAGATAATATTTTGACATCTGATTTGTTCACATCAGTGGAATGCTGACTAACAATGCTGATGACTGGACCATGAAACTGACTTAAAAGTTGTTCAGGAATGTTGTTGTTTTCTTTTCTTTTTTTTTTAAATCTTTTTATCTTTGCATCTTCAACTGGCAGTTCAAAACATTTCAATAGAATTGTGTGTGGGCATCACATACTTGTGAAGCAAGTATATAATGCCCGAACAAACTGGTGGCATCACAAGAGATCAGACAGCACAAGGGAGGCTGAATAAGGATTCTGTCAATTACGGCTCTAGGGTGAGGGTCTTTGGTCTATATTTAAATTTAGTGTTTGAGTTTGTGCTAGGCGTTTTGTATTACAATTTATTGTGTAATGGTTATTGTCATTTATTACACTTAACCTGAAGCTATGATGAAAAATAATATTCTATTGTGATATTTTTTCACACCGTAGAAAACGTTTTTTTCTCTGCAGACAGTACATTAAACCCTAAATCTTTTCAACTTTAGCTGTTGCCTAAAAGTGATGAAAAAAAATGTATCAAGGTAAAAAAAAAAGAAGAAAAAAGCATGATTATTACTTCTACTGTCTATGTTATAGTAGTGTATCCAGTAAAAATGGCTATACTGTTAGAAAATCGGAAAAAGCACAGTGAATTAATAAACTGAAGTTGTTCTGTTACAACTTTTAGAATACAGATTTGCTTTTTTGGACACTATTTTTTTTCTTGTCTCTGCAATATAAACTTTCCATTCTTGTTTTTGTGTCCCAGAAGACACATTCTTTATCAGTCTGGTCTCACATTAGTATCAATGTACTTTTTTTTTCACTTTTAAGAGTGAAAAGTCAACTTTTTCGAAGTATTTCAAATCATCCCCGGGCAAGATATTGAATTCAAGCTTGCCAAAAGTGTATTTACATAAGTCTTTGTGAAACAGTGCTTGGGTAGGTATAGATTTGTGATGGCATGAATAAGGCTTGCAGCAAGTAGTTTTGGAACTAAACCTTAGTAAAAAGGTACTATATATATATATATATAT